AAAAAGAAAGATCCAGAAAGCTGAGCCAGAGTCCCACTCCTAGGGTGAAGCAGTGGCATGCGCAGGGCATGATGGGAAGGAATAGGTGTTTGGTAAAAACCATCTCTTCAATCACTCTCCTGTCACCTTTCCTCTAGGTCTGTCCAAGAAGCCCTCCCTGCTGAGTCACCAAGGCCACATCCTGGACCCTGGAGAGAGCCTCACCCTGCAGTGTTGCTCTGACATCAACTATGACAGATTTGCTCTGTACAAGGTGGGGGAAGACATCTTCACCAAGCAGTATGGCCAGAGGACCCAGGATGGGCTCACGTTGGCCACCTTCACCCTGGGCTATGTGAGCAGCTCTACAGGAGGCCAATACAGATGCTATGGTGCACACAAGCTCTCCTCTGAGTGGTCAGCCTCCAGTGATCCCCTGGACATCATGATCACAAGTGAGAAACAAAAGAGTTTCTATGTAGTACCTAACCTGAGCATGAGCTTTCATGGGGGACCTTAGAGCTGAAGGCTGGGATAGGGACAGGGATCTTATGTGGGAACAGATGGAGAGACAGGGAGCAAGAGAGAAAGGCAGAGATAAGACAGAGTCACAGGCGCTCAGAGTCGACCCTTGTGAAGTCTCAGCTCAGAGCATTGAAGGCAGCCTCTCATTATCTCTGCTCTCTTTAGGACAGCTTTTTGCCAGTCCTTCCCTCTCAGTGAAGCCAAACTCAACAGTGCAGTCTGGAGACAACGTGACCCTGCTGTGTCAGTCAACATTCAGAGCTGACACTTTCATTCTGTCCAAGGAGGGAGCAGCACACCAACCCCAGAGAATGAAATCCAAGTCCCAAGATGGGGAGTTCCAGGCAGAATTCTCCATGACTGCTGTGACCTCTGCCCTCTCAGGCACCTACAGGTGCTACAGGTCTCAAGACTCATCTCCCTACCTGTTGTCACATGCCAGTGCCCCTGTGGAGCTCTCTGTCTCAGGTGCCCTAAAAGAGCCCTTGACTGGGAAGCCCCTGTGAGGTCTGAGAAGGTGAAATTGGGCAGATTGCCAGAGCTTATTTTCTCAGCCCACAGAAATTTTTACATTTTGACTTTTTTTCTTACAATGGCTTCCATTCACAAATTACTGAAGGGTACTTATATCCACAGAAACTTCCTAAAGCCAAGGGCTACCTTGCACCCATTTATGGGTATTCAGTTTGTAGACTATTCTTCCAGTCATCTGCAGAAACAAGTGGCTCCTGCGGACAGAGTCTCACAGCGGAGGAAGACTGAAGAGGGTACACAAGAGGATCGCCACAAAGAAGCCGCTTTGGATGTAACTTCCCCTGACAATGAACTGGAAGTTAGTTTTGACAAAGAAATTAGAGATGAAGCAGTAGAACATATTAGGCGTTTGAAGGATATAATTGCGGCTCATTGGATAGGCCCAGAAGGCCGCCCAATACAAGAGGTCATAATGGAGCAAGCCAAGGTTGTCTGGAAGTTTCGTGAAAAAGAAGATTTGAAGAAGTTGATGGTGACTTCTGATAAGACAACTGGAGGCAGAAGTGAAAATGGCCAAGAACAATCAAAGTGCCTGCTCTATGGGACTCTGAGCTCCGAGGCCCCTCAAGATGGAAACAGTAGCCAGAGTGGATGCTCTGCGTATGTTATCCAGGATCCCAAGGGGTGCTTTTGAGAGGAAGCAGTCTTATGATTGGTCCCTGTTCAGTTCTCTGTATCTCCAAGTCCGTGGGGATGGCCGGCCTTGGATGTTGAATATCAGGCAAGATACAGACTTTCTCCAGAGGAAAAATCAGATATATAATTACTTCATGTTCACCCCCGGGGGGGGGGGGCTACTTGCAACAAATCAAGATTCCTTTCTCCAAATTTTTCTTCTCAAGTCAAGGAAGGATACGAGATGTCCAGAGCCCACTTGTACTTGACAAGATCTCTTCTATAGGATTCACGCTGGCAGATAAGGTGGCTGGACCATTCTTTCTGGAAATAGATTTTATTGGTGTGTTTACTGATCCAGCCCATACAGAAGAATTTGCTTATGAGAATTCTCCAGCTCTTAGCCCAAGACTTTTCAAATATTGAACTGGGGGCAGACTTGAGTAAACTGAATAGTGGTCACAAAGTACAAAATAAAGCCTTTCTATACAAATTAAAGCCTTTCTGTCTACCGCAAAAAAAAAGAGAGAGAGAGAGAGAGCCCTTGACTTGGGTGGGATTAAAGGGACAACAAGAAGAAGGGTGACTCAGAAGACTCTTTCCCTGACAGAGAAGTGAGTGGATGCCAGCAGGGTCCCTTAAGAAATGTCCACTCCATTCTCTATTGCAATCTAGGTTTGGGATAGACAGCATGAGGATCATAGGGAGGTTACAGGGCAGCATGAGGATCATAGGGAGGTTACAGGGCAGAAATAGGAGAGAGAGGAGAGGCAGGTCCCTGAGTTAGCATCTAATCCTCACCCTCTCCTGTTCTACTTCCTAGGACACGTTGGAACCTCCAGCCCGCCACACACAAGTCACTTGCCAACAGCTGGTAGGTATCAGGCACCTAGGTGAAGGGGTAAGCTCCATCCCAGACTGCCTCGCCTGAGCCCAACAAAGTCCTCATTTCTCTGTCACTTAGCTTGTGAGTGTGGGAGGGAAACAGAGATCCCAATCAGAAGCCCATATCTTAGAGTTTGGGATTCAGAAGATGGTGTCCAGAGAGAGGTCTTTTGGCTCAGATTAAAGGAATTGACAGGTGGATGAGATGAAGAGCAGGGATCCCAGACACTCATCTCCCCGTCAGCCTCTAAGGTCCCGAGAAATCACCTCTCACCTGCATTGAGTCAGGTCCCAGAAGTCTATGTAACCATCCTGTTGGATGTGGTACCCAGATGGGCAATAGCTAGTTATGGGCTGGATACAGCTGCTTCTGGAGATGCTGACTTGGACAAGTCCTTCCCATTCTGGGCTGCCTGCTGTTTCTCTGAGTATAAAGTGAGAGACCTGGCCCACATGTGTAAATTTCTTTCAGTTCTGGCCTTGAATGACGCCTCTACTAACAGAGGAGGCCTGCAGATCCTGAGTCTGCAGTGGGTCTGCCCCACCATGGCGGTGACATGGACAAGGGTGGGCACAGGAACATGGCAGGGCATTCCTGCTCCTTCCATCCAATAAGCATCAACAGTCCCTACTCATGATGTCACTTGTTCCTCAGGCCTGGAAATGTACCTGAAGGCTCTGATTGGAGTCTCTGTGGCCTTCATCCTGTTACTCTCCATTCTCATCTTTCTCCTTCTCCGAAGAAGGCGTCAGGGAAAGTTCAGGAAGGATGGTGAGTGCATTGTGGGTGACCTAGGTCTCAGGTGGTGATGGGTTCCTCAAACTGGGACTGGGTAGTCTAGAAACACTGGCAGATCTCAGATCAGAGAGCACGTGATCTCAGAACCTGTGCAATGTCAGGGGTTCTGTGAGCTTTCCATGTCCTGGGACATTTTCTCACTCACCCCTGTTGTGAATGTTCCTTCCTTCCTTCCCTGTACATGCCTGGGGGAGCCCTCCACCAATACCAGAGACTCTTCTCTCTCTTGCAGCCCAGAAAGAGACAGAATTGCAGCTTCCTGCAGGAGCTGCAGAGCCAATAACCAGAAACAGAGGCCGCCAGAAGAGGTAACTCATGGCCAGGGACATAGACCCCCAGCTTCCCGACACAACTCACTGCCAACTGACACCTCCTTGTCTTTCCAGATCCAACCTAGCTGCTGCCACCCAGGAAGAAATCCTATGTGAGATACAGAGGGTCCTGGGCAGGGGCATGGGGGGCGTCTGAAGTCTCAGCTTTGCAGGGGTGGTTAAGAGGTTCTGAGGTCTTTGCTATTTGGGTTCTGAACTTCACACTATGAACACAGGGATATCACCACACTCCCTGTTTCTCTGCCCCCCCTTTGGACTAAGCAGGAAACTAGAGATCTGAGACATCCCCAGACTCTGGTCATTCTGTGTTTTCTGCTATGACAGATGCTTCAGTGGAGAAAATGAAACCTGAGGATGGTGTCAAACTGGACAGTTTGGTGAGGTCCCTGTCCCCGTTTGCAGTGCTAAGAACTTAGGTCCTAGTTTAGTCCAGGCTGCCTTCTTTTTCCTCCCTCGCTTGGCCCTCAACATCATCCATAGCTGACGACTCCCTTCCTCACCTACCTGGCTCCTGTGTGTTATGGCCTCACTCTGCCCTAGGTTTTTGGAGTCATGGGTCTCACAGCTGCTGTCTGCTTTCTGACTCCTTGGCATCTGTCCTGTTGTCATCTGAGGGGGCAGCCCTGATGGAGAAGCCCACAGAAACAGCTAAGGGACCAGCATCTGAAGGCAGGAACCAAAGGAACTTGGGCAGACATATGGGTTTTAGTGTTATATACTGTTGTTTTGGAGGGGTGCCTTCACTTTTTCTCTGCACCACACACCTGCATGATGCTCCCAGAGGCCAGAAGAGAGCGTCAGATACCATAGAACTAGAGTTACAGATGAATGTAGGTCACCATGTGGGTTCTGGGAACCAAACCTGGGTCCTCTGCAATAGCAGTCAGTGCTCTTAACCACAGAGCCATCTCTTCAGATCCCAGATAAGTGTTTTCAGGAAGATGGACTCTGTGGATACAGCCAAGACAGCAAGAAATATTCAGAGTGTCAGGATAAGAGGCCAAAACTGTAGGAGGGAAGCCCAGGAAGACCCCTCGGGAATGCTATCGCATAAAGGGGTCACTCTGGCCATGCTGTGGAAAACTGGCTGGAGAAAAGTCAGAGGGGAACAGGGGAACATTATCTGTACCTCACTACTCAGTTTGGACACTCAGTTTGGCCCTGTACTCCCCCTGCCTTCAGCACCCTGTAAGTCAAGCACGTACCTTCCTCTCACTCTCTCCCCCTCCAGGCTGCTGAATCCAAAGAGCCCCGAGATGTGGTCTATGCCCAGCTGTGCAGCAGGTCACTCAGACAGGGGACAGCTGGACCTCCTCCCTCCCAGGCAGGAGAAGCCCCAGAGGAGCCCACTGTATATGCTGCTCTGGCCGTCACTCGACCAAGTCCTGTTCCCAATAACAAGGAGCAATGACCCTCTGCCTGCCAGGAGGCCTACAAAACCTCCGAGGGATTCTGTGGACTTTTGGGAACCTGGCTGCATTTTAACTAATGTTATACCATTTGGAAATAAAGCAGATTTCTCTATAGTCAAGTGAAATGAGAAATGATACAGAAGGGAAGGCTTCACACTGAGTACTAATTTATGACATTACTTATCTATTGTGGGAATTACCAATACAGAGTAAGGTAAATATACAAGGGAATTTATTAGGGAAAAGCCTTACTTAGAGAGTGACCTAGCCATCCGGCCGGGCAGCAGTAAGTACAGCAAGCCGAAGATGAACGGAAGAAGGGGCACCATGTTATTTGCCCTCACTCTTGAACCTTCCCTATGTCACCCTGACCATGTCCTCGCAGGCGTGGTCAGGCACACCTGCAGCCAGCCCCAGGCAGGCATGGCTACAGTGTCCCCTAGAATTCCCCTTTTAGTCTAAAAGAGGATTAAAACTTAACAGTGAAAAGGATCCAAAATTAACAATCATAAAGGTGAAATATAAGAAGATACCACAATCTGCTTATGTCACATCCTAACTATCTATGTTAACTCAACCCTAAAGCCATCTGAAAGAGGTATCCAAGCCTGAACACCTCCTTCCAATCCCAACCATAAACAATAGGAAGCTATCCCTAACTAGGTATATACACTATCCTAAGTGACAGCAATGGGGGAAGGGGGCGTAGTATCCTCCAAATTACTTCCTGCTGAAATGGGACAACAGCCTTGTGAGGTCCTGTAGGAAGAAAATGTTAATATAGTGAAAGTCTTGAATGGATTGTATTCAGTCCATGTTAGATGGGATTCTCTTGATTGAAGATCTCACTTGAAATCCTCAACTTGATTGAAGTCAGTCCTCGAGGCTCTGGCCGGAGTGTCAGTTGAAATGGAGCAAGTTGGATCCAGTGCAGTCGAGGAGGTGTGGCCCATTTTCTTTCCCGGGTGTCCAGGGATTGCTGACAGGCAGGTCTTTATTGGCTGTGAGACTCAAACTAAAAGTTAGCAGAGAAATGTTTGCTTGTGTATGTACACATACTAAGAAAGGCAACCATGGGAGCATAACAATTATGAGAGTGTGTACACCTTGAAAGAAAGAGCCAAGAAAAGACAAAGACAGTCCCCAAATTCTTCTCTTATTCTGTATTACATCAATTGGTTTCTTGATTCAATACAGAAACTCTAAAGTTTAGTTAAACAACGTGCTTGGATTTTAGAGGAATAAAGCCAAATACACCTCCAAAGCCAGCATTGGTTTAATTGAACAGGACTAGAAAATAAAGAGAAATAGAGTTATCTGAGAGATAGCTTAAAATTTACTGTATGGCACGTTCCTTTTGTTTGATGGTTATAGCTACCTTCTCTTCTTAAGCATCTACCCATACAGTGTCCTTTGACTTATGGAGATGAGTTTTCCTGTGAAGATAAAGGCAAAACACTTCCCTTTCCTTTGGGAGGTTTCTATTTAGTTTTTGAGACATACCTTAGTAGAATACCTGTCATTTGTCATTGTTGAGAGGTTTTTCTTTTTTAACTCAAATTTTGATCAACTTTGATGGTATCCAAAGTTTTTCTTCTCCTGTGGAAACAAATGTAAAACACCTACCCCATCATAACACATGTCCTGGTTTCCATACAGAGGTTAGTACATCTTTGAAGTATCCCAGCTGATTCAGTTCAGCAGTTTTTTCTGTAATCCAGGATCTTTCAGCAGCTGTTTGTCCTTTCTCATTGGCATTAAGAAAGTTTAGTGTTAATAAAGCATTATGTAACCTATGTTTTGGGGGTTTAGTCTTCCCAGCCTGTCTATGGAGCATCTCCTTAAGTGTTCTATTAGAGCTCTCAACCACTGCTTGTCCCTTAGGATTGTGTGGTATATGATGAAATGCTTTATGTTATAATATTTGAAAAACTGTTCCAATTTTGTTGAGACAAATGCTGGAGCATTGTCAGTTTTTATTTGTGCAGTTATACCCATAACTGCCATCACCTCTAGCAGGTGTGTAATAACAGAATCAGCTTTTACAGAGTTAAGAGCAGTAGCCCATTGGAACCCTGAGAATGTGTCTATGGTATGATGCACATATTTCAAATTTCCAAACTCTGCAAAGTGAAAGACATCCATCTGCCAAATCTCATTTCTCTGAATACCCTTAGGATTACAACCTGCTGGCAATGGAGTTTGATTATAAAAGGAACAAGTAGGACAGTTTTTCAATATCTTCTTGGCTTTTAAACCTTTGCTATTTACATGATGTTTCTTATGAAATTCTGAGGCTTCTAGCACAGTTCCTGTTGATAAATGATCAATCTCGTCATTGCCTTGTGCTAGTGGGCCAGGCAGACCCATATGGGATCTAATATGTGTAATGTATAGAGGATTACTTCTGTTTCTGATTGTTTCCTGTAATTGTATAAACAGTGAAGTTAATTCTGTATTATCAGGAACGAATTCTACAGTCTCAATATGTAACACGACTCTCTCTGCATATTGAGAATCAGTAAGAGGTTCTGTAAAATCCATGAGTACCATGAGAATTGCATATAATTCTGCCTTCTGTACAGATGTATACAGACTTTGAACTACTTTAATTACCTCACCTGCTTTATAACCTGCCTTACCTGATTTGTTGGCATCAGTGTGGAAGGTAAGAATTCCAGAAATGGGAGTTTGTCTTAGAAAACAAGGAAGAATCTAGACTGTCTTTTTATGAATTTAATTCTGTCAGTTTTGGGATACTTGTTGCTAATTGTTCCCAAAATTCAGTAAGAGCTATTTGCCAATATTCATTATCCTTCCACAAGGAGGAAATTTCCTCATTAATTAAAGGCACTGTAATATCTGCTGGATCTTTTCCAGTCAGTTGACAGAGTCTTAATTTGCCCTTCAGAATCAAATCAGAAAACTTTTCTATATATGTCTTTCACTTTTTATTCTGTTTATGTGGCAGAAATATCCATTCCAATATAGTGTCTTCCCTCTGCATCAGAATCCCAGAAATTTATCCGATCAACATACACATCCAATATTCTGTTTTCTACCCATTGTAATTCTTTTTCTGAAGGTTTATCCGATCTACATGCACATCCAATATTCTGTTTTCTACCCATTGTAATTTTTTTCTGCCTCAGAAGATAATATTCATGGACTGTTTATGTTCTTATCACCTTTAAAGGCCATTTTTAAATACTTTAAGTCATATCCTTCTACACCAATAATCGTTTGTAATTGAGAAATTCCCCCTAGCAGCTTCTGAAGACTATTAAGAGTTTGATAACGATCCCTTCTAATTTGTACTTTTTGAGGCCTG